TCCTGGGAGGCAGAGCGGCGGATTGCTCAAGTCAGGAGTTCGGAAACCAGCCTGAGCAAGACGAGACTCTGCTCTACTATAAATAGAAAGAAATTAATTGGCCACTAATATATTATACAAAAAATTAGCCGGGCATGGTGGTGCATCCTGTAGTCCCAGCTACTCGGGAGGCTGAGGCAAGTAGGATCCTGAGCCCAGGAGTTTGAGGTTGCTGTGAGCTAGGCTGACGCCTCGGCACTCACTCTAGCCTGGGCAACAAAGCGAGACTCTGTCTCAAAAAATAAAAATAAAAAAAAGCAGTAGGGCCTGAGCTAGGAGCCCCGTCACCACCACTTGTTTCTTCTAAGCATGCACCTCCACCTTGGCCTTGGCTCCTCTCCCTACCTTCACAAATGTCAGGTAGGAAAGGAAATCCGTATTTTACTTTCTCATAGAAGGTCTTGAATAGGGACTGAAGTGCCTATTCTTATATTTGAAAAAAGAGGCTGGTTTTGTATTTCTCACCCACCTCTGGGTTTGTTGTGAACTAGAGCACAAGTAACCCTAGGTCAGCTGAGGCCTCCTTGCCCTTTGAGACCAGATGAGTTTGCTTTGAAGTCCAAAGGCTTCACCGAGATATCCATGTATTGCCTGGAGATCTACATTCTCAAATCTCTGCCTGCCACCTCCTGTTTTCGTGTGTACTTCACATAGCCTTCCTTGAGTTTCCCACAAACTCTCCACCTAGAAGACACATATGCGTGTGTGGTAGAGCTCACTGAAGACTGTGGGGTTGGCCGGGCACGGTGGCTCATGACTGTAATCCTAGCACTCTGGGAGGCTGAGGCGGGAGGATCGTTTGAGGTCAGGAGTTTGAGACCAGCCTGAGCAAGAGCGAGACCCCCATCTCTACAAAATAGAAAATTAGTTGGTGTGGTGGTCGCCCCAGTGCCTGTGAGTCCTAGCTACTTGGGAGGCTGAGGCATGTTTCTTTCTATTTATAGTAGAGACTGGGTCTCGCTCTTGCTCAGGCTGGTTTCGAACTCCCAACCTCGAGCAATCCACCCGCCATGGCCTCCCAGAGAGCTAGGATTACAGGCGTGAGCCACCGCGCCCCGCCTATATATATATATATATTTTTTTTTTTTGAGACATTCTCACTCTCTTGCCTAGGCTAGAGTGCCATGGCGTAAGCCTAGCTCACAGCAACCTCAAACTCTTGGGCTCAAGCGATCCTCCTGCCTCAGCCTCCTGGATAGCTGGGACTACAGGCACACGCCACTGTGCCCAGCTAATTTTTTCTATTTTTAGTTGTTTGGCTAATTTCTTTCTATTTATAGTAGAGATGGGGTCTTGCTCTTGCTCAGGCTAGTCTCAAACTCCTGAGCTCAAGCAATCCTCCTGCCTCAGCCTCCCAGAGTGCTAGGATTACAAGCGTGAGCCACCACGCCCGGCCCTCATATTAATATCTTTATATCCACATCCTACAGATGAGGAATCCAGGCTCAGAGAAGTTAAGTGGCTTCTCTAAGGTCATTGGGTCAGAAGGGGTCAGGAGACCTGGCGTTTAGATTCAATTCTGTCAGATGCTAAAGCCCCAGATCTAACTGCTGCCTTGTCCCATAATCTTGTCTTGTCCAGGAGTCATCTAGCAAGGTTGGGGAGAGGCTGTAAGGAGAGGAGGGTGGGTAATAGGTGGCTTTAGAGCAGGTGTCCTCAAACTACAGGCCAGAGGCCACATGCTGCCCGCCGAGGACATTTATCTGGCCCGCAGGGTGTTTTTGCCGCAGCTGCCTGTCCTGCTTAGCAACCGACTGTTCCCGGGCCCACAGTGCACATGTGTGGAATGTGCGCCACACTCTCCAACAGCCCTCCAGTGGTCTGAGGGACAGTGAACTGGCCCCCTGTTTAAAAAGTTTGAGGACCCCTGCTTTAGAGGGCTGCATCTTCTCTCCAATCAAAGGTGAATGGGGGCGGGGCGCAGTGGCTCATGCTTGTAATCCTACCACTCTGGGAGGCTGAGGTGGGCAGATTGCTCGAGGTCAGAAGTTCAAAATCAGCCTGAGCAAGAGTGAGACCCCATCTCTACTATAAATAGAAAGAAATTAGGCCGGGCACAGTGGCTCACGCCTGTAATCCTAGCACTCTAGGAGGCTGAAGCGGGCGGATTGCTTGAGGTCAGGAGTTCAAAACCAGCCTGAGCAAGAGTGAGACCCTGTCTCTACTATAAATAGAAAGAAATTAATTGGACAACTAATATATAGAGAAAAAATTAGCCAGACATGGTGGCGCATGCCTGTAGTCCCAGCTACTCAGGAGGCTGAGGCAGGAGGATTGCTTGAGCCCAGGAGTTTGAGGTTGCTGTGAGCTAGGCTGATGCCACAGTACTCTAGCCTAGGCAACAGAGTGAGACTCTGTCTCAAAAAAAAAAAAAAAAAAAAGACTGGGGTTGCAGGGAGAAATCACACCTACCCCATGAACCACTCAGGACTAAGGAGTGGTCCCCAAGCCTCTCACCTTGCTGGCGTACTCTACAGGGTCCCTAGCCTTTTCCCTCACCTGTCATTTGGCTCCTTCTTCCTCTCCCTCCAGGACTGACCTGGGAACCTCACACAGGCAGGCAGGGTATATGAACTCCCAATTCTTACCTGAAAACATGCAGGCCCAGCCAGCCCAGCTGAGGCTCTGGTGCTCAGCAAACAGAGGCCTCTCCCGAACACGGCAGGGTCCACCCTTTCTAGGAGGCGGTTGAGGTTATAAAACACATTGTTTTCCTGATACATAATATATCAAGTACCCAGCATGGTGCCTGACATGCAGTGGCCTTTGCTTTTTCCCCTCTCTTTTCTCAACACTCTGTGCCAGTGCCCTTCATAGCTGCCATTTGTCAGCATTTAGCACCTGCTGGGCTGTGGACTAGGCATTTAATCATTGCCTCCCTTAATCCTCACTTTATGAAGTGGTATTATTATCAATTCCACTTTATAGATGAGGAAACTGAGGCACCCGGGAACAGGTAACTTGTCTGCAGTTACACAGCTCATATCTTGTGGGGTAGCCCCTCACTCCCTCTCACTCTGCCCGCCCACCACTTAGGGACCATCTTCCTGTGGATCTTCTGGCCCAGCTTCAATTCTGCTCCCACGGCGCTGGGGGACGGGCAGCATCGGACGGCCCTCAACACGTACTACTCCCTGACCGCCAGCACCCTCAGCACCTTCGCCCTGTCAGCCCTCGTCAGCAGGGACGGGCGGCTCGACATGGTATCAGGGGGAGGGTTGGGAGAGGCAGAGGGATGGCCTGGGAGGGGGAGGAGAGCCCTGAGACCCTGCAAGGAAGATCCTCCAGGGGAGCAGGTAAGGGCACAGGCATGGGGCTCCACCTGTACTAGTGGTGGTGGGGTCAGAGTGGGAGGAGATGACATGATAGGACAGTTAGAGGTTAGATTGCAAGGGGACTTCCAGAAGTAGTAGGTGTTGCTGTGGTTGGATGGGGTTGGGCTGTGTGTCGGGGAGTGACGATCTGAAAGGGCCACCAATGCCTTGCTGTCCCCTGTTCCCTTAGGTCCACATCCAGAATGCAGCACTGGCCGGAGGGGTTGTGGTGGGGACATCAAGCGAAATGATGCTGACACCCTTTGGGGCTCTGGCAGCTGGCTTCTTGGCTGGGACTGTCTCCACACTGGGGTACAAGTTCTTCACGGTATAGATGCCTCTCGGGCCCTGGGCAGAACACGGAGGCTTCAGGACCTTTCCTCCCACCTCTCCAATAGGCCTAGGGTGGGGTGGGAGGGGGCACAGGGGACTCATCATCTTTCCTTTCCTCCAGCCCATCCTTGAATCAAAATTCAAAGTCCAAGACACATGTGGTGTCCACAACCTCCATGGGATGCCAGGGATCCTAGGGGCCCTTCTGGGGGTCCTTGTGGCTGGACTGGCCACCCATGAAGCTTACGGAGATGGGTGAGTTTCTCCCAACCCACACTGCAGTCATTAGCCTTTGGAATGACCCCTCTCACTCTCCTTCTCCGTGGGCCAACAAAAAAAGCAGTGTGTAGCAGTGTGTATTTTCATTCATTTATTCATCCACGTTCTGAGAGCCAAAGAACTGGAGTGAACAAGATCAACCCAGGGACTGCCCTCTGGTCAGTCAAGTGCAGTAGAAGGTCATTGAACAAATGATTTCAAGAGTGTTAAGTGTGATTGGGCACGGTGGCTCATGCCTGTAATCCTAGCACTCTGGGAGGCCGAGGTGGGCGGATTGCTTGAGGTCAGGAGTTCGAAACCAGCCTGAGCAAGAGTGAGACCCTGTCTCTACTATAAATAGAAAGAAATTAATTGGACAACTAATATATAGAGAAAAAATTAGCCAGACATGGTGGCGCATGCCTGTAGTCCCAGCTACTCAGGAGGCTGAGGCAGGAGGATTGCTTGAGCCCAGGAGTTTGAGGTTGCTGTGAGCTAGGCTGACACCATGGCACTCACTCTAGCCTGGGCAACAGAGTGAGACTCTGTCTCAAAAAAAAAAAAAAAAAAAAACGTGCATGGGTCTGGTGGGGGTGGGACAGGGTGGGCAATAGGCTCTTTCCCGCCCCATAGGGACCCTCTAAAAGGAATGTTGAGAGGTCATCTTATCCATCCCCTGCCTCTAGCCGGAATAGCCCCTAACTCATCAGAGCCCAAGGGGAATCTCTCTGTGTGGAATGTTCCCCAAGGAAGGAGATTTCTTGATGTTTAGACTCCACTTGAAAGGGCAAAGGATTGAGTTTTGATTCCAAACAAACCTAGTGGGAGATGTAAAGATTACTGCATTTAAGACAAGCTTTAGAGTGGTTTTGGCATGTAATGGACAGGAGCCCTTCGACCCAGTGTACTTTGTTATCTTGCTGTCCTTGAGCACAAGAATAGACATGGATTCTCTTTACCGCTTGTACAAGGAGAAAAGAAGTCAGGTAGTAAGACCTAAAAGAAGTCAGGGTGCAGGCTGAGTTTTGTTCTTGTTTTTATTTTTTTTTTGAGACAGAGTCTCACTCTGTTGCCTGAGCTAGAGTGCCGTCCGTCAGCCTAGCTCACAGCGACCTCAAATTCCTGGGCTCAAACGATCCTCCTGCCTCAGCCTCCTGACTAGCTGGGACTACAGGCATGGGCCACCATGCCCGGCTAAACTGAGTTTTAAGTGATGCCTCTCCCTTTCTGTTGGGGATATTCTCCCCAACTATCTCAAATGTTTGTCATTTCTTTCTGTTGAGAACATTCAACATCCTCCTATCTATTTGAAACTAATACATTATTGTTAACTATAGTCATCCTGCAGTGGTATAGAACACTAGAACTTATTCCTCCTATCTAGCTGTGATTTTGTATCCTTTAACAAATCTCTGCCTATCCTCCTTTCCCCCATTCTTCTCAGCCTCTAGAATCCTCTAATCTACCTTTTTTTTTTTTTTTTTTTAATACAGGCACTGTGCCACCTGCCTGGCTCATTTATATTATATA